AAAGTTAAAAGCAATAAATGAAATGTGTGCAAGATACGATGGAAACTGAAATCTTCCAACAGTAATTTCACCTTGAACTTTTCCTTTAAGGCAGAGATTCAGTGTAATGACAGAATCTCCAAGTATCACTACACATGATTTCAAGAAACATTAATCATGATCTGGAATGTGCTGCTTGATTCTTTTTGTGTGTGTGTGTGTGAGGAAGATAGCCCTGAGCTAACATCCGATGCCGATCCTCCTCTTTTTTTGCCGAGGAAGATTCGCCCTGAGCTAACATCTGTGCCCATCTTCCTCTACTTTATATGTGACACCGCCACAGCATGGCATGACAAGTGGTGCGTCAGTGCGCGCCTGGGATCCGAACCCACGAACCCCGGGGCTGCCGAAGCAGAGCATGCGCACTTAACCTCTTGAGCCACCGGGCTGTCCCTGCTTGATTCTTTTTTTAATTCAAGATTATTTATTACAAAACCCACTCAGGCCTCCAAACAATCCTGCCATTTGACATCAATGGGAAATATTTTGATAAGTTTAGTGACTGCATGTCAGTCCTCCCACAAAATGTGGATACCTGAACACTCAAAACTGTGGAAAGACAAATACAATTGGTGAGACCCTGTTCTGACCCTTGCATGTCCTTGTGAGAGAGAAGAGTGGCAAGCCACACTAAATAAGATCCCTTGCCAGGAAGGTGGTATCAGCAAGTAAATCTAATTCTCAAGCATGAAATCTCTGTAACCCATTGGGCACACAACACCCACAAGTCCACATGGAGAAATGCCAAGCACCCAAGTGGGCCTCAGGCTGGATTCTGCGTATTTTAAACCCAGGAAGGAGCCCCTCGGGAACAGAGACATTCCTTGATCTAAGCCTCTGAGCCAAGCACAGGGCCAGGCACTGGGGACACAGAGGCGACAGGCAAAGCTAGGTCTATTACAGGAGCAGCAAGAAACAGATGATACTCTGAGAGTGGGCCAGTGCTGTGAGGGAGGGACGCATAAGCTATCGGGGTAGAGGGGAGAGGAGAGAACATTCTGGAAGAATAACTCTCAAACCGTGCTAGGGAATGTCCTATAAATCTATAATGTGATAATCCATGGGGCAGAGAAACTATCCTGGGAATGAAGATGGAACAATTCCTAGCTGGCCTCTGGTGGGCAGACAGTGTGGCAGGAAAAAAAGATTTTGTCATCTTATTTGAGCACCCACACAGCTCGCCCAGGACACTCAGCTGGCCAAACCACATGGGCTGCTCAACTCTCTGACATGGAGCAACAGAAAAAGGCTTTGTTGCTCAAACAGTTAGTTACTGGAACGCTAGAATTTATCATGTTTTACAGACCACATGCACAGTACAGATCCACCACGAATATGCAATTCGGAAGCAGGCCCGGCTCTCAAAGGTGTGAATGTGGCTTCTGGGAAGAGAATGTGACACAGCAGAAAAAGCAAAGATTCTGGAGTCAGACTGACCTGGACTGCTCACAAGGGACGTGATATTGGGTAAGGGGCCTCAGTGGCTTCCTTTGTGCTAAGACATATATATATCTGCTCCAGACACCGTGAAGAGGAAACAAAGCAATGAAGGTCTCTGAAACGTCAGCTTCCAGGGCAGGCCCTAAGCAAAGTCTCTTCTCTCCCTGTGCTTCCTCCCTACTGTCCACCCTATTTCCGATCTCAGCTTTTATCTAACCTTTGGAACCTGACCAAGAGCCTGAATCCCTGCAGACCACCTATAAAGGTGAACTGCAAGGAACAAATCATGAATGCATGGTTTTCCTGTGCTTAATTCAACTTCAACATTTACTAAGGACTTACTACGTGCCTAGCCCTGCGCTGGGACTGCAGATAGAGACAATGTTCCACCCAGTCCTTATTCTAGAAAGCAGTCAAGCATTTCATCAAGAATAAGCCAACCCCTGCAGAGGCCTCATCAAAGCACAGCAGGCAGCATTCACGAGGCGTCAGGCACCAACCACGTCACATCATACAGGTCTCAGCAGTGGAATCCTTGGAGCTTCCTTTTCATTCAGACACCCTGTACTCTGCTCCACTTTTCATCACAGACAAATCTGACCCATGTTTTACACTCCTCAAGAGCATCATCAGTGTGCTGACGCTACCTCTGGAGCCTGAGCTCTGGGACTCGCCTCTTGGGTTATGCTGCCTGATAATAAAATCCCTTAGAAAGGACTCCGTGGGAAATGTGCAAGCTCCGGAACTGGCAACTTGAGTTTGAGTACCAGCTCCGCCATTTGGCTACCCACATGACCTGGGGCAACTCACTCTGCCTCTCTGAGCATCTGTAAAACAGAGGCGTAACGATTCACTCCAAGGGGTTGTTCTGAAGGTTAAATGAGATCATGTGTGAAAAGCATGGAGTCAATAAATGTGGGTATTACCCTTGGCCTCTGCCCCATTTGGATCATAACCATCTTCAGACTAGACCTGAAATAGTCAGGCATCTTCCAGGACAGCGCTTTTCACACTGCTAGTCATGCCACAGGCAATGGTTAGTGCACTGTGAAATCAGAGTGGATTATTACCAGCATTTTAAAAAAATAAACAGAACAGAATAGGAAATTTCAGAATGCTTTACACATAGTAAAAGCTAGGTATTGTTTCATGAAACTTGTTTCAATCATATGTACATATTAAGTTCCTGCACACACGGCCACACACTGGGTCCTGACATAAAATTTATCTCCTTTTGGAAATCAGGGTGAAAAAAACTTGAAAGAGACTATTCTAGGACAGTGCTTTCCAAACTTCATTTTTAGCCTGGAATCCTAAGACTCTAACTTGGGGGCCTAAAATAGATAAGGTAGAAGGTAAAGACTCTGGTCCTGCCTGATCCTCTCCTGACACGCTCACCTAGTGATTACGGACTCCAAGCCCAGGAATCTTCAAGGTTAGAGTTCACAGTCAAATTAACAGTGTGGGTGCACAATGTGGGTGCGGAGGGGCAGCCTATGCAAGAGTTGAGTGTTCACGGTGTGGAGAAACCATTATTTGTTAATGGTGCCCTTTAAGGCAGGCCTCAAACACTTCCACCAAGCACAGCCAGACAGGCCAGCCCAGCGTCCCCACCAGTGGCCACTTCATGGCCTGATGTTTACTATCCTGCAGTGACACCAGGACTTGTGGCTTCAGCTATCAGCTCCAACCTCCAAACTCTCGTTCCCAGCAAGAATTCAGCAGAATCTGAGCAGCCTTAGGGTTTAAGACAGAAGCAACACATGCCAAGAATCTTAAAGGCTCAATCCCAAGAGTGCAGAAAAGTCTGCTTTATTTAAGGAGCTAAGCCTTATTTCAGATGATATTCAGATTTTACTTTCTAGAAGCAAGCCTTTGCCTCCTGAAGAAAGTGAGCAAAAAAAAAAAAATCAAACCATTATCTGTTCCACCATCAGTTTTGGATTTACTAAGCAAGTTCACGCTGAAGCCTAAATGGGCCTTTTTGGTGGAGGGACATCTTTCCTCCTGTAGAGCCTCTGCTGTAAGTTGGGGGTGGTGGTGCCTGAGAGTCACCTCACAAGGCCCTGCAAGGTTAATCATCGCAGTTGAGAGATGAGGAAACCGGTTCAGAGAGATTTAACGGCCTCACCAAGGCTATGAGGCAAGTAACGAGAGAGGCTAGGGTGTAGGCTGGGACTGCAGGATTCCAGAACCACACTCATCCCACCACAACGACCTGAGAGACTGCTCACTTTGTTCCTCAAGTCTACCATCAGCCTTCTTACCTGGCCCCCAAATTCCGGAGCTCTCTGAGGTAACATCCCACCCTTTCCTCAGGCGACCAATCCACCTCTGTATGAAGGCTTGTCTGGTCTACTGCTCCATCCCAGAACTCTCTGGAACCTCCCATCTGTGTGTCTATTTGAATGTCCAGTAAGAACCTCAAAATCATTGTGTTCAAAACCAAATCCATTAACCACCTTACCAAATCTGGACCCTCTGTGTTTCTGATCTCAGCTGGTATCACCAGCAACCATCTCACCAGCTGGACACTCAAGAGCAGACCACGATTCTGCCTTCTCTTTCATATCCACTAAACTTTCATCAGGACCCACAGCTTCCCTCTCTCGAACATCCCTCCAGTCCCTACTTTCCACCGACTTCTGCAGCCTCAGCTCAAACCCTGGTCTTTTTTCCTTAATTTGTTTCTGCCTCCAGGCTCCCCTGCCTCCCAAGTAACTAAAACTCACTTCTGGATATAACCCACCTCCATCCTCAACAGAAGCAAAAGCCTTCAACTGTTCACACTGACCTCCATAATCCTGCCCAAGCTCCTCAGCTTGGCATCTGAGATCCACCAGAGCCTAGCCTCCCAACCTCCCACCTGCCACTCTCTGCCCTTTACTTCAGGCTCCAGCATCACCAAATGGACTGCTCCAGCCCTGCTAATTCTAGATACCACACGCTGCTTCTCATCATCACACGTTGGCTCAAGCTCACGTGTTACCTCTACGTGCTCTGACTTCTAAACCCAGGTCCAGGGCCTCTGTCCTTCTTCCCTTCCTTCAGAGACAACATTTATCACATGCTGTACACCTGCCCATGGACACGTCTCTCCCTCCAGACAAGAGCTCCTGACAGGCAAGCGCTGCATCTTGCACAGCACCCCTCTCCAGATCCTAGCAGACAGCCTGGCACAAACCTGGTGCTTAGCGATATTTTGTTTAATGAATGGATAAATGGCACTTTGAAAACAAATAGGTCCCAGACACCATTTGTCCCCTTCAGGGCATTCAGAAGGACCAGTTAGAGAGGCACAGATAGTAATAAAAAACAGCTAACAGTGCTAAGTCGAGGACTAGCAGAGCAGGAGCTTGGAAAACAAAGGGCAGCTCAAGTGCAGGGTGGCCGGGGAAGACGGTGAAGCAGGATGTGGGAGTTCAGCTGAGCCCTGAAAGAAGGGGGCAGTGAGGACAGTGAAAAAACGGGGACAAGGACATAAGAAAACACTCTGAATACACATGGAAATGCAGTCTTACCAATCAATTAGGTAGATGTCTGGAGTTAAGTTGTTTTTCTTGAAATGAGCAAATAATTTCGGCAAATTTTCTTCAAAGAATACCTCAAATGCAGCAAAATAAGTCAACATCTAGGGAGATAATGTGAAATATACTAATAAACTAATTATCAGCACAAGTTTCCAATATATAAAAAAGTCAATAAACTTATACCTTTAGAATCTAACAATTATCTTCTTACATAATTTTGATTAGCAACTTGTTGCTAGGCAATTTCTAAATAAGCACAATCTCTAATCTTCACAATAACATCACTAGCTACATCTTATTTCTTCAATTTATAGATAAAAAAACTGAAACCGAGACCAGTTACATGACTTGCATAAGGTCACATCATTAGGGTGTGGTAAGGCTGGGACCCGAATCCATGCCCTCTCACTGCAAAGGTTGAGTCTTTAAGGGCTCATTCTTTTCAAAGAACCAAGAATGAATTAACTGTCTAAAAGTATCTGAAAAAGCACGCATACTTCACTCCCAACCCCTAGCACTTCCAGAGGGAATACAATACTAATATCTGAGGCACAGGCAACATCCTCTAGATGCAGTCAGGGAGAGAACACAGCCCTTTTAATGCAGTTAGGGAGAGAAGACTGAAGGAAAGGGAAGCAGTCACAGCCTGCATTTCACCAGCACATGCTTTTCGACTTCTTACAGAGTTTGTAGGAAAACAAAATGCACAGAGCAGGGGAGCAGTACTGACACAGAAAGAACAGCGACAGCTGGATTCGGAGTGAGACATCTGAGAGGTGGCCCATTACTCCTCCATTTACTAGCTGCATGCATGTGGCTACACGGCAACTCTCTGATGCTGTTTGCTCATCTTAACAAGGGAATATATACTATAAACCAGAGGTTCCCGATGGGGGATTTTGCCTTCCAGGGGACATCTGGCAATGTCTGAGGCAGGTGATGCTACTGTTATCTAGTGGATCAAGGCCAAAGATGCTGCTTACATAGCCTCCAATGCACAGGACAGCCACCACCACAGCTGTCTGGCCCCAAATGTCAACAGTGCTGCTGCTGAGAAACCCTGCTGTGAATGAAGGTCCCATTCAACAATATGATTTTATGATTTTTTCATTAAAAATATAAGCTAAAATTCTTAATTACAGTTTTTGTGTGTGTGTGTGTGTGTGAGGAAGATCAGCCCTGTGCTAATATCTGCCAATCCTCCTCTTTTTGCTGAGGAAGACTGGCCCTGGGCTAACATCCGTGCCCATCTTCCTCCACTTTATATGGGACGCCGCCACAGCGTGGCTCGACAAGCGGTGCGTCGGTGCACACCTGGGATCCGAACCAGTGAACCCTGGGCCACCACAGCAGAGCGCACGCACTTAACTGCTTGCACCAGCAGGCCGGCCCCTAATTACAGTTTTTATCATATGTTTCCAAAGAGGAAGCAGGGGTCTTCAAAATTAGGAGATTTTCAGATATAAATAATTTTATTATTTAAAAAGTGTTTTCCTGACTATGAAAGCAGTATCTGTAAATGCTCACTGTAGAAAATTTAAGTACAGAAACAAATGAAGAAGATCACCCATAAACACTATTAATATTGTGGAATATTTCCTTTTATTGTTAAATATGGTAGCTATTATGGCATATGTTCTATTTTATATACTTTTGAAAAAATTAGCATGTTAATCTTAAATACTTTCCCACAGTACAGTTCTTTGCAAACATCAGTTTTGTACTGGATATATTACCAGATTTTAAATAACCATTCCCCTACACCTCATTTTAAATGTTTTCATTTTCACAATGAAAAATAATTTTAATTATTAGTTATAAATAATTGTGTAACAATCACCTTTGTGCATAATGCTTTGTCCACACTTGTGACTTTCTTAGAATCAATTCTTACACACAGAATTACAAACCAACACCATTTATTGCTACTAATACTTAATATCAAATTGTCTTCCAAAAGGACTCTATTAATTTATACTTCCCCTAACGGACACCAGTTTAACAGCAGTTTTTAAAACATTTTTCTTCTAATGTTTGTACTGCCATAGCAAGAAATCCCCAAGAGTCCTTATGATATTAAGGAAGAAATATTCCCCAGCTGATCTAAACTATTAGATCATTTCTGTCTTCAAGTACTGGTGATAGTTATCAGCAAATCAAGACAATGCTAATTAAAAAGCAGATGGATTTGTTAAATTGGTCACTTTTCTTCTGGGCTACAGAAAGAACACAGGCTTAGGAGCAGAATGGGTTCAGATCTCAGCTCTCCCACCTACCTTGATGGCCCACAGCATTTCTGAGCCCCGCTTCCTCATCTGTGCCATGCAGAGGACCCACCTCCGGAAGCAAGTGAGGGGCTTCCCCAGGGCAACTACTGTCAACTCCTTCCATTTATCCAGTGTCTACAGCAGGGTTTCACACACAGCGCTGCCTTTTGTCAAACAAAGGAGCTGGTCTTAAACTCGCCTCCTCTCCCATGCATGAGCGCACTGTATGGAGCAGAGCCCCAACAGGACAGCGAGCAGCAACAGAGCCCCACTGCGGCGGCGCTCTGTTTCATAGACCCCAATGGGGAGACTGCTCTGGAGCTTCTGCTTTGACACAGAGTATGTCTGTCTGTGCAGCAGCCACGCCACCTCCCTCATTTAAAGAACATGTTTTCACACTCTCTGAAAGAATGTATTAAGAAATGTATACATACGGCTATTAACCATGTTTTTGGTTTTTTTTGTGTGTGTGTGAGGAAGACTAGCCCTGAGCTAACATCTGTTGCCAATCCTCCTCTTTTTTGCTGAGGAAGACTGGCCCTGGGCTAACATCTGTGCCCATCTTCCTCTACTTTATACGGGATGCCACCACAGCACGGCTTGACAAGCAGGGCATCGGTGTGTGCTGGGGATCCGAATCTGCGAACCCTGAGCACTGAAGCGGAGCGTGTGCACTTAACCACTGCACCACTGGGCCGGCCCCTAACCACATATTTTTAAAGTTCAACAAAATGCCCAAATAATCCTCCACCTTACATAGAGCTACTTATTCTAAATACCTCTTAGTGGGGGGAAAATGTATTCTTTTTCCCACTGAAAAGACAGAATGATTAGGTAACTCTTACTGAAGAGTTGACACAGTACCCAGGGCACATACACAGGGGATACTCACAAGGCCATGGTCCACTCGGAAAAACGCCATTTGACAGGGTTTATTCAAAAGATTAGAAAAAGCAATGAAGGCATCTGCAGTATCCAAGTTCAAGATCAACACTGCAGCTATGAAAGACATGCCCTGAACCTGAGGGAAGGAGAGAAAGGGGTATTAAACCAACGGTAGCCTCCACGCTCAGAACAGCTCTTTCCTTTTATTAAAAGAGGAACCAAAACGTCCTCATGCTAGAAGGGCCCACGCAGCTGCCCACCCACTGCCACCCCACAAAAGCCAAACTGACAGCCTCGTCGATTCTGACCTGACCTTACTTGGAAGCATTGCTCTGCCCCGTCAGCCACCTTCTCTGTGCTCCTTCAGTCCCCCACTCTGTCCACATGGAAAACTATAAACCCACCCCTCCTTACGCATTTGGCCATTTGAAATACTGCCCTCTAGAATGTATAACGTCCTGGTGCGATAAGAATGTTTGTCTATAACATGTTAAACCTAAAACCACGCACACACACATCTGCTAAGCCACAGAAACATCAGCAGCACAGTTTTAAAAATGGTTACCGCTAAAAGGCTTTTTTGATTTAACACTAAAAAGAATCACATGCAAAAAATGAAAATCACATCCAATTAAAATGTGATTAACGTCACAGAGCAGCCGTGTCAGCTCAGTTTCTTTACAAGGAAACTGAGACAACTCATTTACCATGAGACTTTTCATACTCCTCAACAAAAAAGGGAAGGCATTCAACCTGACATTTGCAGCTAAGAAGTGCTGGGCAATATCTGGACTTTCTTTATAAACGATAACATTATAAAATATTGAAAAAGTTCACTTACATAACCCACATCCGGTCGGTAACAAGTATAAGCGCCCAAAATGCTGTGCAACATGTCATGATATGGACCACCCTAAAAGGATCAACATACCAAAAACAACACATGCATAAGTTTGTTAGTGCTCAGAGTAACATTTGATACTGCTGCGAGTGCTGCCAGTCACACCTGCTGTTTACAGAGAAGGACTAGTTGCCAAGCGTTATGCTAGCAGCTCTACATATACGTATTACGTAATTTAACAAATTAACTACCAATCCACAGTTAAGAAGGGAGTCTGCAGCTCAATCTACCAAGCTGCTCTGAAGAAAGCTGGTGGGTCAAGTATGAGCACCGCAGTAGAAAAACATCCTTAATTTGGCTCCTGCTGTGTAACTGTATTCACCTTCAAAGTTCAACAGGTGACCAGGTACCCCAGGTCCTTCAGGGCAGGTGAGTGTTAACTGTCATTCTGACTCGGCCTCCTGCTGTGCCCCTCAAACTGACTAGTCTTTCTGCCTCCCTTCCCCTGCCTAGCTTTATCTTTTGTGTTTTTTGGTATGGCAGGTTTAGGAAATACACTCTAAGTCTTAAGTCCTAATGCATACCATTTTATTCCAAACATTCTCCCAGTTCTCCCATCCCTCCAAGATTGGTGTTGGAATTTTTTTTCCAACTGAGCATAGCAGCAAGCGCAGAGGTGCCTCACACTGATGTTAGCGTGTCTAAAGACATTGTGAAAGGACTGGCTCGGTCCAAATCAAACACTTACTGTCCACATCTACCATGTGGCTACAGTTAACACAAATGGTGTGTGACTAGGAAGTCACTCCACAGGTGACTACACGTGGCTTACAAAAGAGCGCCATGGCCGAAACCGTCACATCCTGACATATAAAAAGAAGAGACACTTTCAAATCACAGAGGTACAAAAGAAGGAAACACAGCAATGGGAGGGTAAAAAAGACAACACCCAGGGCTAAGAGGGTAAGGGAAGGGCAGATGGGAGGGACCTCCATGGCAGCACCAAATGCCACCTGAGGAGGCACACTGACTGTCACCAAATGATACCTGGTCCAAAGCCAAATGAGAAAAACAAGAGTGCTATCCTCAACTTGTCTTAAAGCTAATCGTTTTTAACCTTAAAGATTTTCCACCATCATGACTGTGTCCTTCTTACTTTGGTGCTAAATGTCCTATCTTTGATGAAAAGATGGTGCTAGTAGATGGCAGTTCCTTATTTTAAATGCCCTTAACTTCTTTTGGATGTCTCATAGTTTCCCACACTCTCCCCTCCCACTGCCCTTTGTGTTTTTAATATCACCCATTTATGAAATCCAGAACTTTGGGAACCACAGTCTGAGGAAGACACACCCAAAGGAACCCAGAGGGAGAGACCTCAGCTTCAGCAGGGCATTAGCACCCTCTCAGACCCTGTCCCGGTCTCTGGCAGCCTTTCTTGGCTACACTGCAAGTGTCTCTCAAAGCTCTGCCCTCACACTCCCTTTCCTCCAGAGCAGGGACCATCCACAGCCGGCTCCTAGCTCAAATAGAGTAGCCAACAGTTAGTAACTAGGCTCCATGGAATTGAACCATATCCTCTGTTCATTCTGTATCCTCTTTAGCAATGTTCTCTCCCAAAAGGAACTGGGGATCCCCTGAACCATCAGCTGTTTGATGCTTCCATTCTAGTTCTCCTACTACCTGGAATGTCTTTTCCCATTCTCTGGTCAGACTGTCATTCAAACCTAGTCCAAGCACAGCCCAGAGCCACTTCCCCAGTGACACCATTCTTGACCCCTCCTGACCCTCCCCTTGTTGTACTACCAGGAGAGTGAACCATCCTCTGTGCTGTCGGAATACCTGGGACACACCCTCATTTTTGCAAAGCCCAGTGTGTCTAATCTCTACATCTCCTGGCTCATTCTAGGTGGCCACTTAACTGATTAGTTCTAATTTATTCCACTACCCTTTACTGGTTACCTAGTATGCGCAAGGCATGATGCTAGAAACACAGGCATGAAAGAATCAGATTGGGGATTCTGAAGTTACTCTGGAGGTGTGAGGTGACTGGATGGAGGTGAAGGAAGCCAGGAGAGATCTGCAGAGGTTGGTGCAGTGTTCCACAAAAGATGAGAATCGGAACCAAGTAAAGGCAGTGGGAACAGAGAAGGGACAGATTGAGAGGGATTTTGGAAGCAGAACTGGCAAAAACCATTGTAGACTGGATAAGGGAGGGGTCAAACAAGACCCTCAGGTAAATAAATGTCTGCTGGCTGACAAAGAGAAGGTCTTCAGACAACTCTGCTCCAATGACTCCAAAATCTACTGCTGACAGCCCTGAGGCCTGCCTGTACTATACTCAGACGCCCATGGGGAAGCTCTACTTTTCTCTTTACTACCATCCAAGAGAGAATACTTCATCCTGTCGCCCATGTTGGCTTCTGTTCCCGTGGTGTCACCATTCTCCTAGTCTACCTGCCCAGAAACCCCAGCCTCACTATGACCAAAGACTGCCAAGGATGTTCCTTTCTCCCCCAGGCTTGAGCACACCGAGATCATCCTCCAAGCGAGAGCCACTGTGTGTAATCCTAACAGAAGCAGCATCTAGGAAAGCTCTGACAGCTGGAGCAGCACACAGGGCCCTTCTAGTGCCAGACCTACACACATTTGATATATACATTTCAAAGGAAGGACAGAATTGCCTTTAAAAGCAGAAATATGGCCATAGTAAATATTTATTGGAAAGGATCAGTTACCCTTATTTTTAAAAGTCTAAATGTACTAACATAAGACCTACCTCCCCCCCGCAAAAAAACCCAAGTACTTTTCAAACTTGATTACAAATATATGCAGTTTGGCATCTATGAACGCTAGACAAAACACACTTGAAAGCAACAAATCACCACCACCTACTTGTTGGAAAATGCAGAGATTAGGAAACGTTCTAGAAATGTCCAGTTTAATAAGCTCCAGACTGGCTTCTCTGTCTGCTGCTGAAAAACCGGCATCTATCAAAAGATCAAGAGTCATTACACCTCTCAGGGGCAAGCAAGTGGAATAATTATGAGGCTTTGAAGTTTTATAAGAATGAACAAGGAAAAGAAGTTCTTCAAAAGTACATGGACCTAACTACGACTTGAACCAATAGGGTCCACTTTCAGAGTTTGTAACAGTTGTAGAGTTTCTTACTTTAAGAGCAAAAATCGCACAGCAAAATGCCAGATCATCATCAGGTATTCTCTAGCATCTGAAATCAAAATCTAATTTCATATTACCTTTCATCCACAACAGTCAGTGGGAATAAGGACAAGTGAGGGAGGACACACCAGTGAATCCAGGCTCAGAAACAACAAAAGATCACTATTTGATCTAAACATCACTGGTATAAACTTAGAACACGTGGGAGTTAATGCAGTATAACACTCACGTGCACTATTTCTAACAAATATTTATGAATAACTGGTTTTATATTTTTTTGGAATTCCAGTACCACATAGACAGTATAAAAAAAGATCAGTAAAATGATACTACTTAACCAACAGAAGTAATCACTCGTGTGTGTTATGGGAAATTCTAAAAGCATGCTCTAGCAAACACGCAGTGTTCTTGTCTCTTCAGAAGTAGTTCCGATGCTCCTCTATAAGCCAACACTCAAGTAATCCTGGGGGTCAGTCTACTGTAAATCATGCGAATAGTGGATAAAGGAAATGACATTGGTTACAGCCGGCCCTCCAGCATGTTAGGACACAGACACCGCTCAGGGACTGGTATGTTCTCTTTCTTATAAAAAATTTTGTCTTTAACTTGTTTGCTCTAAAAAAATTCCTTTTCCCATGAAGCTTTTTATAAATTTGTACCAATCACTACTTCAGTTAAGTAAACTTTCTTTGTTATGTAATAAATAATGATATACATAATTGACCAAAGTAGCCCACCAGTTTTAGCATCATATATACCTTCATTCTCCACTTCAGAGCCTCCTGTGCTAAAGGACCGCCACCTCTCCTTGGCTCGGGCAAGACAGATGTCAAAGAGTTCTGGAAGAGAAGGCTCTGGGTAAGTACCATGTGCACAGGTGAGTACATTTCCTCAAAAACACCAGCGAATACACTACCTTGTTCATGTATTTAAAGTTCAATCATAGACTGCACGCTTATTAAGGCTACTTAAACAATTCCCCTCACTTGGCCCAAAGGTACTTCTATTGTCTAAAGACATCAGCATATACAAAGAAAGAATACACAAAATACCACTACGCCTGGTATTTACTTCTATTACACAACGCACCCATAAACCACTTTGTTCTGATCTGTCTACTGATCTGATCCTCTACTAGCCTGTGAGCTCCTTAGGGGTAAGACTGTGAGGGTCTCCCATTCACATTTGAATCCAGAGCAAATGGTACTGGGATTGACACAGAGTAATACAATCAGTGAATATCTGACAGAGAAGGGAGGAAGACAAAAGCAGAAAACCCATCTGGTTCCAAATAAACACAAGATGGAACTACTACACCGTGGCCCAGTCTTCCTGATCTTGTTGCCTGGAAGCGGGGTAGGGTGCAAGCAAACAGGCAGAGGTTTCAAAAAACAAGGATTCTTGCTGGCAGAGACTTATCAAGACAGGTCTCCCACAAGACAGCCTCCAAATCTCCTCCATATTTAGCACTTACTTTTTCAATAATTCTCCTCTTTGAGTAGTTTGGTAATAGTGAAGTAACTCATGTGCACAAATTTTACAAGGACAAGGCTACAATTATGGGATAAGATGAAAGTCTTATAAGATTAAAAAAATAGCCTGTAAAGACAATAATAATAATATAAACCCCAGCTACACAGAGAAGATACAAATCAATCTGTTTTAAACTCATAAGGCCTTCGACAGGGTAAAAATCGCCAACATCAACTCCATAAGCATTTCCTGGGCACTAGTATAAAGACTAGGAAAGAGTTCCTGTCCTCTGCAGCTTAGATTGCAGACAGGGAGAAAACAAGTAAAAAGTAATGACTACTATTTATTAAGCACTTAATTGTAAGTGTGTGAGCTCCTGGCATTGACTTCACTCTGGATGCACAGCCTCATGGAGTGCTGGGCACAGAGTGGGAAGTGAGTCCAGCGAATGCCACTGGTGAGGAGAAGCACACACAAACTGAATGAATGCATGTGGGGAGAGAAACAGCCCTAGGTGAGCACAGATCTCACCTCTCTTGTAGGCTGAAGCTACCAGAGCCTCAAGGACCCAGTCTGAGGACAGTATGTTGTCCCTCTAAGCTGCTTATACATAAGCTGTCTGGAAAAAAATGCCACAAAAGACCAAACAGTAGCTTCACTGACACCCTGTGAAGGTACTGGTACCCCAGATATGAAACCTTCACAGAAAGAAATGCCCACCTCCCTTCCACCTTCATGTCCTGATCAAGGCTTGCTTTCTACAGGACTTTGAGAAGAGAGCCTAACATTGAGACCCATATGTGCTACCTCGTCTATTCAGGGAAGATGACAGGTATCAGGAAGAAGGCAGGTGTTTGCTCTGAACTATCAGGTAACTGAAGCGCCCAGGAGTGAACCCAGGCCTCCCCACTGTCTCTCCTCCTGGAGGACACACTCACCTAGTCTCTCTAAAGACACAGCTTTATGGCAACGGGTTGCCTTTCTTCTTAACAGGGCAAACAGGACAGGAGAAGTCACAGGACCCAAGGGGTAGATTCCCCGAGCCTAGGACCATGCAAGCCACTCACCGTGGGTGATGTTTAACTCGTTGCCAATGGCTAAGGTCCAGACTTTGCCTCTCACACTGGGAGGGATTCCCTGCCACCATAAATCTCGAACTTTTCTAGAGCACCACCTGGACAAAAATGGAAGCATGAGTTTATAACTTTGTTTTCAGTGAAGAAGTATGTCTACCTGTGTGCCTGGCCCTAAACCACAGGAGTGGGGGATGCACAGTTGTTATGTCACAGTCCCTGCCCCCAGGGAACTTACAGTCCAGTGTTCCAGAGATCAGGAGATCAATGACAACCTTCCACTGGGCAACTACTGTGACAGGTATGCCAAAGGTACTGCACACGCAGGGAGGGGTACCACAAACCAGAGGGCCCAGGGCACCATTCTGGAGCCGAATTCTGAGTGACCAGTACAGTTTAAGCAGATGAAGGATGGGAAGGACCTTCTCAGCAGAAAGCACAGCAACAAGAAATAACCTGGCCTGCTACAGGAACTGCAAATAGCTGGGCATGGCATGGGGGGTGCCAGGAGGCACTGCCGCAGAGCTGCAGGTGGAGGGCAGACCCCGAAGGGCCTCACGAGGTGAGCCCCAAGAGCACGGCAGCCAGCCACTGCACTACTGCGTATAGATGAAGCACTCAGGTAACGAGCGCCAAACTCCAACGGCAGAGGAGAACTCTGCTCACTCAGAGTACTCTGAACTGCACAAAGTTGTTGAGGTCTGCTGCTCACAATGCACACACACTGCCAACAGCTTGGAACAAATGTAAAGGTGCCGAAGACTCCCCTGGTGCTTCTCAGTGCAGCGCAGAGTGGAGAGCACGGGCTGAGGCTGCAGAAATCAGGTCTGCAGCCTGCTTCCACCCTTACCTGTGGAACCTGGAGCAAATTACTTCTCCTCTCTAATATCAAGACGATGAAACCTTCCCCCTGAAGGGCCGCTGTGAAGACTAAGTGGGATAAATCACAAGGACACCCGCCACAGTGCCTGGCTTCTAGCTGGTGCATTAAATGGCAGCTGTCATATGAGTGCATGCATCTGGATCACATCAAGCATCGGTCACTGTAGGACGGACCAGGGGTGGGTTCTGCAGCCACACAGGGAGACAGCCCAAGGGTTCTGAGGACGTCAACCCTTGTCACTGGATCCATTTTGAGAAAAAGTGTTTCCTGACCATGTCCAGCCTATTAAGGACACTTCCTAGAAATGCAGGCTCTGGGAGTAGCTTGTTTTCCTAGTAGAGATCCTCAACAGGGCTGTGTGACCCCTTGTAATGAGCATCAGTGACACGCACGTAAGTGCCAGAAGCAAGTCTCCAACATCCTGACATACAGTTCAGGCTAAAAGGGACAAGAACAGAAAGAAAACTGGCATCCAACCTCCCCAGCAGCTCCTGTGGCGGGGGGGAGGCCCAAAAGAGCCACCAGCCTCTGTGCATGGCCCTGGGACTGCTGCCCACGCACTGCTGCTCCCCATTCTGAACACACAGGAAGAAAAGATCTACAGCTGTCTCTCGGATATAAAGATGATAGCAGCTGCCAGATACTGCTGGGTAATGGTCACCAGGGGTTGTCATCAAAGAAGACCCAGTGCCCATCCTCAGGCAGAGGACAACAGAAGCTTAAGTAGATGGATGCAGTATACCCAAGGGATCTTCTACAGGCACCTGGGCAGGAAAGTCTTCCCCAAGGAAGACTGAGCTTTAAAGAACAAAGAGTTAGCTGGATGAGGAGTTACAGGGCAAGAGCATTCTAGGCAGAGGGAACGGAACATGCAAAGGCCCTGGGGCTCCTTAAGGAGAGGGCTCCATTCAAGTGAAGGAGAGATGAAAGGTGAGGCTGCAGAGAAAGGGATGGGCTATCTCATAAAGGACACGTCAGCTAAGCTAAGGAATTCAACTTTTACACCTAGAGTCATAGGAATTAACTGAAATTATAAGTAGGGAAGTGATACAGACTCGTGCTTTAGGGGATCCCTCTGGCTGCTAAGCAGAAGATGGATTGGAAGGGGTGGGAGATCGGGGCTGTCACAGTATATAGGCAAGGAACAATGAGGGTGGAACCAGAGTGGGGAAAGGGAGACTACGCAATTTAAACTTATTAGGTAATTTCATTGAAGGCTGTGATATGAGCTACAACTAATACAGCTGCTTCCTACAGATACCAGCAAGAAATGATTTACAGTCCAGCAGTGCCCATTATGTCCCAGCTTACATTGTTTCCCAGTTAGGCAAAATCTCATTATTCCAAGTAAGGACAGCATTTCCAATGCTTTCTTCTAATCTGCATCTTTCTTCCAGCTGCTTTTTCCTCCGCTGAGCTTCTTTTAGCTCTAGAAATCAGAATTAAAAATAAGAAGACAACATCTATTAACTGATGTCCACCATTTTCAAGCTAAGTGATTTTTCCCAAAGAATCATGCTGCAAAAACACCAGGAAAATGGACAGAAGTGGAGCAGTGAAACTTCACCTCCCAAGACTCATTTCATACTTTCATACCTATGGAGTTTAGAATGCATTATCCACCTGTCAGTAAGCTTTTAAAGTATCACACACATACAGAAAAGTATACAAAGAAAAACAACTCAATTATCACAAAATAGACAAATCCATGAAACTACCACCCCAATCAAAAAACAGACCCTTACCAGAACACCGGGAGCCCCTCTTGTGCTCCCTCTGCCCAGTCTCCTTCCCAATGTAACTTCTATCTTTACTTCTAACAGCTTGAGCATGACTCTTAGCGGAGAAATAGCAACTCTGAGAAATATCCTGCATTTTCATTTACATATACTTTTGTGTTTTTTCCATTGTGGTAAAATACACAAAACATAAAATTTACCATTTTAACCATTGTTAAGTGTACAGTTCAGTGGCATTAAGCACATTCACATTACTGGGCAGCCATCACCACCATCCATCTCTAGAACTTCTTTGTCTTTCCAAACTGAAACTTTGTGCCCATTAAACAACAACTCCCCATCCTTTCCCCCCAGCCCCTGGCACCCACCATTCTACTGTCTGTCTCTATGAATTTCACTACTCTGGGGACCTCATACAAGTGGGATCGTACAATATTTGTCCTTTTGTGTCCGGCTTATTTCACTGAACATAATGTCCTCGAGGTTGATCCAGGTTGTAGCATGTGTCAGAATTTCCTTCTTTTTTAAGAGACTGAATAATATTCCATTGTGTGGATAGACCACATTTTGTTTATTACATGTACTTTCTGAGCATCCTAGGATCATAGAGTTTTTAGGTGTTGCAAGGGATTTTTTATCAAATCTCATCATATCTTCTTGTAACTAAGAAAAACTGAGCCCAGCCAGAAGGCTGATGCTTTCTCCAGTCCAGTAATGTTATCCTATGTAGTCTCTTTCCTCATGTAAATTCAAAGTGCTATTACCTTGACTAAAGCTACCAGGAATGGATAGTTAGTAGAAGCATACATTTTTGATGAAAAATTATACATTTCAAAATATTAAAGTATTCGCCAAAGTTCAGGTTCTAGAGCTCCAAAAGATAAGGAGAAAACATCCAGAAAGACACAAAATCTTGTGCTGCCTTACATAACCAAACACGTGTGGATTCCATTACCTCGTTTTTTGGCCTGAACCACCATTTCTTCATACTGCTGTCTGTGTTTCTGAGCTTCTTCAGCTGGTTTAGCCGGGAGATTTCTTGATACAAAATAATTTTGCACCATTATAAATATCAAATAAAAGTCTTTGAGAAACAAAACTTGAGCATTATTTACTAAAAAATGAAAAGCTCAAAGACCAAAAACTATATTTGTTAAGTTGACAAAGACACAGTTCTTTCATAAACTAAAAATATTTTCTTACAAAAGTAAAATAAGCTCACTGTAAAAAATTTCAAGTATTAGTAGAAAGAAGAAAGTAACAATTACTCATTTATAACCACCCAATTACCCATAATTCCAATAGACATAAACACTTATTCTTTGGTGTTTTTTCACCCCAGTCTCCAAAGAAACTTTGATTTAACCACAATGCACTAATACTTGTCAACAGTCATCCTTGCAGCAGAGTACCCTAACAGCATATATTACATATATGTATGAATACATTCCCTGGCCAGTTTTTTTCAATGTGCAAGTTTTATATTAGCTATGTGGTCCATCTGTTTTGTTTTTTCATATACAAATTTATACCATAGTTCTAAGCATGTAAATATGGCATGCAACTTCAAATCCTGTTAAAAAAAATAAAATGCATGCTCTATTTCAGAAACGTGCTGGTGAATTTGCTGGCCTTTGAAAATTGGGAGGGTGGCAAGGTTTGGCTGCTTGTGCTCCTCACACAGAGTACCCCACATTCCCTGGGATATTCTGAATGACTGTCATTTGCTGCAGGAGAACATGGCACAGCTCCCCAGTTCACATTTCAGAGCGCATTACAAAGACTAGGCATCAGAGTGCAGTGGCTTCTACCAAGTCTCTATCTACCTTTTTAATCCTCCATTTCAGGGTTTCTCTCCTATCTACCCACACATCCACAATTTCTAAGGACCAAGAATTAATAGTAGAAGACACATTTCTTCTTTAGATTTTACCAATTTTAAATTTCAGGGTTGGCAGAGACCTTAGGGATTCTAGCCGAATGTTTTAATCTTTTTTTTTTTTTTTTAAAGCCGTGGAATCGTTCTATTCAAACACAATGTTCTATGGAAACTCAATACTTAAAAAGAGATAAGCTGTGGTTTGGTATGATGGAGCAATCCCTTTATCCCACTAAGGTCTCCAAACACGATCTGTAAATCGGTCATCTAAACCCATTTTCTCATCACATAGAGGATGGACTTGCTAAGATCACCCAGACTGTTTCCTGCAGATCCCAAATAACCAGGAGGCTAGTCCAGGAATTGTTCTACCATACTGGGATGCCTCCAAAACACCCACTGTAGAGTATACTTCCCGGTGTTTCTTATAGTTACAAGCCAGTCTATAATTTATAATAGCTACTTAAGTATTTTTAAGTGCTAAATTAAAATTAAAAATCATTAGTCATTTACAATCATGATAGAACACATGTTGATATAGGGAATAAAGAGGAATTCAGCATTTTCAGTAAGTGATGGCTCACTCTTCTTCCCTTTTGTGACTCTAGTTCTTTTCTAATGACAAGGTGATTAGCAAACTGTACTCATCTACTAAAGCAAACACTCTCTACAGATTCTTAAGACTCACGCTGGTCTGTCCTCCAGGATGAGTGCAGTGGTGGAAAGTGGCTCAAAATCAAGATTCTTCCTCACATTCTGCTTTGGAGAGGGTGGCTTGCTAGGTCGTCCAGCCTTGTCTTCATATTCCTAGGACAAAGAAATTATGGATAACTCCAGGCCCGGCTAATTCTGGTATTATGAAGCCCTTCTGAAAGCAAGAAAGTTGTTTTGTTATGAAGTCTCTTAGGTTGATTTTGAAGATGATACGCTGAAGATATTTCTTGCTATTCAGAAGGAAAAACTACCAGTGAAAGAAAGGGGTCCTAAAGCTCTGCAGTTCAGGCCATCACTTTATGAGATGAGGACTGGGGAGCTCCCCATATTGGTGGGGAAGTCACTAAGGATCTCATAATCCTAGCTGCCCCTTTGTAAGGGCCCACTAATATCATCTCAGGTCTCCTATGCTTCTCCTGGGTAACAGGTGTGTTTTCTGTCCTCCAGACAATGTAAATTTTAACTGATTATTACAGTGGCCACTAGGAAGCTCAGAGCCAGAGCTTCAGCCAATTCTAGCATTCATCTGACTCCCTGGCTTCATCTCCTATACCCACTGCCATCCTAAACTTCTAATCCATTTCCTTTTATCCCATGGCATTTTACGTATTTTTGTTAGCCCTTCAAATCTTTTCTGAAATGAGGAAGGGGTTAAAAATCTTTCACATGAGGATGATTAAAGCTATTTCATTTTCTTAAACCAGAAACATCAAAAAAGAAATTCTTTAATATCTTTGTATGAAGCCATCACTGTTAAGTTGTTACATAAATAATAATTGTGCCATTCCCTGGAAATCTAAGAGCAGCCTCCATACTACTGGATCACTGATTAGTCCCATGGACTGCAACCACAAAAGCACAGTCACACCTGGCAACCCACATTCCAAACACCCAACCAGAAGAGTTCAGGCGAGCCAAGCAAGTTGGCACCAAAGAGTCTAGCTTCTGAAATAGTGTGTGTGCCCTTAGCCCTCTGCAAATTAACAAAATAGATATATATCTTCTTGTTGCCTATAATAGACAAGGCTCGTGGGACCTTCCTTTAAGAGAAGATAATCTAATTGGGAAGACAGGACAAACAAACCACTAGCTAACCTAAGATTTAAACAATCTCTCCGGATAACAAGAGAAGCAGCATCATGAGTAGAAGGTGATTTGCTAAATGAATTTTATTGACACTAACTGCCAAGAGGGGTGTTACTGGTAAAATCATTTAGCAAAAAATTATTCTCTCAGCCAGAAAAATCTATAGAGGCTTCTAAAAAGTAGAAAGGAAAAATTATTTCCTCAAAATACACAGGCTATGAGAAGGGAGTGCACCAAGAAGCATGTGGGTGGGGCAGTTTCTGTACATCTGGGTGTATAAGGTTAGATGTCTTAACACTGTTTACCCTGACATTTAAATGGTTCCATTAAAATACTAAAATGGGGCCGGCCTGGTGGCTCAGCGGTTAAGTGCGCGCGCTCCGCTGCTGGCGGCCCCAGTTCGGACCCGGGCGCGCACCGACGCACTGCTTCTCCGGCCATGCTGAGGCCGCATCCCACATACAGCAACTAGAAGGATGTGCAGCTATGACATACAACTATCTACTGGGGTTTTGGGGTGAAAAATAAATAAATAAAATCTTTAAATAAATAAATAAATAAAATACTAAAATGACCTCCACTCACCCAAAACTGAGAAAACTGACTCACTTTTTCATTGATTCAAACCTCTGAGCACCTACATGTACCAGGCACACAGCTGTGACTTAACGTGGCACCAGCCATCGGGAAGCTTCAGATCTAGCAGTGTCAAGTGTCAAAATCTTGAATTTTATAGGAAATATACCAAAAGGTGGGTGTTGAGAAAGATTCCAAGGCATGTTACATTTTAACAAGAATTAGTCACTACTACTACTTACTGCTGACTTTGGTCTAGTGAACTATATGCCAAGGCCAGAGATGTTGACCCCCAAAGTTAGAAGTCCCAGAATTTGGATGCCCATCTCCCATTTTCTTTCATGTGCTTGACACACATTGTCCCACTTTATCCGTGTAACAATCTCTATGGCAAGTGGCACCCTATTTTATGGATAGGGTAACTGAGATTCGAAGTGAAGTGACTTGCCCCCAAGTACACAGCCAGCAAGGGCTGGGCCTGCAGGACTCTCCACTCTGCCACCCTGAGCTGGCCCAACCTCTTTTGTGGATATACTCAAACAAACAGGTGTGCAGTTTGAGAGGGAAAAGGCCAGGTCCTGCTGGGTTAAGTGTGGCCTCTGGAGCCAGACAGGTCTGGGAGCAACTTCAGATCCACCATGAACCACCCGTGACCTCCAGCAAAGCACTTACTTAGAATCCCTGAGCCTCATTTCCACATCTGCAAAAAGGGAAGCACTACCTACCAGAGAGGGCTGTCTAAGGAATGGGGAGAGGCTTGTGAAGCAGGGAACACAGGCCTTAGTGCAAAGGAAGTGCTCCATAAAGGGCAGCCCTGGCTGCTGTAGGCCAGTCCCCTCTTTTTCCTCAGACCTGAAACAACTGTATAAGGCAGAAAAGAGACTCTAGGGCCAAGCAATCAAAGAGCCCTGCAAAGTCTGCAAAAGCCCAGAAAGGAAAAGGAGCAAAATGAATCAAATGCCTTGATTCACGAACCAAAAAAAATCAGATCTCTTCACTTAGAGCTCAGAAGCTCTATTACTAACAACAAACAGCAGCAGCTGACATTAATGAGCCAAGCACTTCTTGAGGGCTTGATTCACACTAACTCAACTTCACCTTCACACTAGCCCTGAGGGAGGAGCTGCCATCGTCCCCATGTCACAGACGGGAAGGTGGAGGCCTAGCTGGAGAGTGGAGGAGCTGGGATCAGAAGCCAGGCCTTCTGGCTCTGCAGACACATTTCTCACCAGGCTGCCACTCTCTAGAATTCATGCAAGCCACTCACAGACAGGATGCAGAAGTCATTTAACCATTCATATTCAGTCTAAATAAAGCTTTCAACCACGTCAGAAACTTGTAATACTGAATTAAGTGCAGATGCAGGGCAAATACTGATACTTCAATTGCACAGAGCACTACATGATTTAAAAAAACAAAAAGGAGGAGGCCTGGCCTGCCCATAGTACTTGAAATCTCAGGGAAAGCCTTTTCAAAATATGAATGGCACTGGAAATTGTTCCAGGTCCTGCTCCAAACCTAGTTCTCCCAAAGCTACCTAGAGGTGTCAACAGTAAGCTCATCTTCCAAACCAGACAAATCAACTTTAGAAACAAGAGGACTATTCACTCTAAGCATCCCTTTGTGGGGGGAGGGAGACAGTAAATAGAAAGTCTCTGGAAAAAACAACTTTCAGCTGTGAATTATCAACATTGGGGTCAGCACGTGATGTGGCAACAGCTAGGGCTTTGGAAGCAAAAAGACCTGAGGCAAGTCATCTTGCGTCTCTCTCAGCCTCAGTTTCCCATCTATAAATGGTAGCAACTGTGAAGACTACTATAATAATGAGATGAGGTGAACTACGCTAAATGGCTGCCCACTAAAGTGTGAGCCCTTTTTATGTGCCAGACAAATGTCAGGGTAGTCCCAGCCTCAGTCCAGCTTATCATTCCCAAGTTTCTTCTCTTCTTGGGACCCTTATGGGATCAAGTTTTGAAGTCTCCGAGTTTAAACAAATGCCATTCATCAGAAGCCCTGCATGTTAATCAGTATAAATCACCCATTCAAGTGACTGCTACAGATTCCAAAGCCCTGTACAACCCTAGAGGGAATTTAGAACAGGGTTCTTCAAAGTTCTAGAAGCAAATCAGTTTAAGTGGTCATGGCAGCATTTTTTAAAAATCAAACAATAAAAAATATCAGAGTGTACATGGCAAGGACAGTTTGTTTCAGTTCTATACCTAGCTTTATCTGTGCACTGAGTCACAAACTGTTTAACCAGGGAGTCATGTCAAAAAAGTTTGCAAGCCACTAACTTAGAAGCATAGTAGGTCATGGGCCGGCCCCGTGGCTTAGCGGTTAAGCGCGCGCGCTCCGCTGCTGGCAGCCTGGGTTCGGATCCCGGGCGCGCACGGACCCACCGCTTCTCCGGCTATGCTGAGGCCGCGTCCCACATACAACAACTAGAAGGATGTGAAACTATGACATACAACTATCTACTGGGGCTTTGGGGGAAAAAATAAATAAATAAAATTATTAAAAAAAAAAAAAAAAGAAGCATAGTAGGTCAAAGTCTCTGCCCCGAGTAGTTGATCACGTATCCTGTTAGGAAGACAAGACCAACATCAATGAGACAGCAGCAAACAAACCTGCTGCACCTAGGCAGGGGCTAAGTTGTAGGGTGCGGTCTGATGACCAGCAAAGGGTCAGGAAAAAAGGAGTAAGCCAGGGCAGTTGAGCACAGCCTCAGCTCCACATAGGGGCCATGCGCAAAACAGATTTAGCAGGCAGGAGGAAGAGGGAAAGGGACCATCTGAAAAAGAGGAAGCTCATTTGTAAAGGGACCACTTGGGGCCCAGCCCTGAAGGGCTCACTCTAGTAGGGGCAGTAAGACACCAGCAGAGGCTAGAAAACCAGGGTAGATAAGGAAAAGTGCCATAAGAGGGCAAGCCACATGCTGTGGGAGCCCCAAGGACACAACACCTATGGCTGCGGGGAATTAAGGAAAGCATCTCATAAAAGGTGCCACTTGGGTGGACAAAGGACAGGGGAGATCTGGGCTGGAAGCCATGAGGGAAAGGCATCCTGACAGCACAAGCAGCAACCAAGAGACGCACAGGAGCAGGCTTCTTTGTAGGTTAGCATGAGCACTTTAAACGGGAACTGATGCTGAGTCAAAGCTGTTCTGCTCTAGATTTTATAGTCTCATTAAAAAGCTACCTGGACTGGCGGGACAGGCCCAGCGAGAACAAGAGCAAGAGAGGGGGCGGCAGGGAGAGCTAGACTTGGTGCAGAGACAGAAAGTAAACAATGTGAGGTGTGATGAGCCCATTAGATGCACCTGATGGGAGGGTCTACATCATGTGTATGATCTGAACAGTGCTAAGGGCGAGGCTAAGGGCATTAGACTCCTGAATTAAGAGTATAATTTGCCAGTTAAAAAAGAAAAGGAA